CCTCCTACTACTCACATTAAAACCCTTACCGTTTCTGTCTTGCTTCAGATGATGTCAACGTAGCAAATGTTTTCTCTTTATCTTGATTGCTGGGAAGCTGGATCATTTAATCCATTATATTTATCTTTGCTGCTCGTTCTTGTTACTCTTTTACATGCAAAGAATATTTAAGATAATAAAAGGTAACTAAAAGGAATGAACTTAGTTACTATTGCATAACAGCAAATAATTAGTTCAAGTGCAAGTTCTGTGTAATTGAAATGCAATATAATAATTACAGTGTAACTAAAATGGTAAAGCGAGTAGTTGGGCTTGGAGCTGTAAGTGTGTCATTATTATTTGCTGTCAGGTCATTTCCTAATAGCAATCTTATGAACGAGTGACTTCCAACAGTAACTGTAAAACCTGCAAATGTAACAAATTACTTTTAAGGAGTAAATTTCCAGACTTAGAAAGGATGGGAGAAAGACTGAACTAGAAGCTATGTGGATAAGATAAAGTTGCTTAGCTCTCTCAAGTGGCAAATACATACGTACTTCTTTGCTCAAAACTGTACCCCCCAGCTGCTCTTTCACCATGAGACAGAACATGTCTCTGATTAGGATTCTGTTAGACATTTAGATTATGCATCCTTCAGTCTCAAGAGACTATGGTAACGTGCTGTGTATGGAGGACTGGGAACAGCGTCTAGTGTGGCTGAGAAGGCCAATTCAAGAGTGACAATCCCTTCCACACTGAAGACAAATCCAGTCTGTCCCCTGTCCAGCTCCCTGATTTTGCTGCTTCTGGGACTGCCTCTTTGCCTCGGCCTGCTGGACAAGGATCTCTTCAAATTGGGAGAGGCTGTGATGCACCGCCTGCCTCCAGGCTGAATGCTCAGATGTCAGGGTTTCCCATATGTGTTAAATACAGTGGTGCCTCGCATAGCGAACGCTTCGCTATGCGATGAAACCACACAACGAGGGGTCCCGGGCCATCGCTGGAGCGTTCGCTCAGCGATGGCCCCTATGGGATTTTTTCGCTATGCGATGATCGCGCGGACGCGATCAAAGCATAGCGAACAGCTGATCAGCAGTTCCAAATGGCCGCCGCTAAAACAAAATGGTGACCGCTGTTTTGCCTCGCTAACGAGGCATCCAAAATGGCCGCCGCAATGGAGGAAACTCGCAGAACGGTGAGTTTTAAGTCCATAGGAACGTATTAAATCAGTTTTAATACGTTCCTATGGGCTTTTTTATTTCACTTAACGATGGATTCGCTGAGCGAGGGTTAATCCGGAACGGATTAACCTCGCTAAGCGAGGCACCACTGTATGTAGCTTCTTATTCTTTGAAAAAGATTAACTTTAGAGAGATTCCTGCACATACTGTGGGAATATATTATGTTCCCACATCATGCACAAAACCAATTTTAATTGTAAGAGCTAAATCAAATGAAAAGGTGGCAGTTTCTGCTCAGAAATTAATATAAGAGGTGGGGAGGTTGGGAGCTAAGATGTGCAATCTTTGAGACCAGTGAAAAGGAAAAATTGGATTCATTATTGCGTGCTTAATACACAGGCAATAGAAATGATAAAGTTTCGGGGCAGAACATTAAAAGCTCCTGAGCAGCTGGAGAGTTTAAAAGTCACTGTGATATTACTGTTAAACATCTTTCTGATTTATCAGCCTTACCTTACCTAACCTTCCCAACAGTCCTATGAAGTGGGTTAATGTGAGAGAGAGGATAAAGTCTGTTACATGATCATCTGCCCTAGAAGAGTAGGTCTCAAACTTTCTCTCTCCAGAAAATACTTTCCATATGGCTTTGCCTGCCAAGGCTTACTGGGTGTTCGCCAGATTATCTATCTATAGGAGACAGGCATGTTTTTAAGGAAGCAGACACAGGGCAGTGGCCCATTGCCTGTCACCTCACATGAACTGAAAGAAGACCTAGAACATACCTAGGGCTCTAGGTATCTGTGCATTGCAAAGAATAATCACAAATGGAAGACAACCTATCTTTCTAGGAAGCTCACATCATCACTGCTCTTCCTAGTAGCCCCGCTGTATTCTTTTTGTTGCAGAGTTTTGAATTTCTGGTAAAATTCCTCTTTGTTTTTGTTTTTCACAGAATCCACAACCAGGGACGTGGTGGTGCCCGGGTTAAACCGCTGAAGCCTCTGTGCTGCAAGGTAAGAAGACCTGCAGTCGTAAGATCGAATCCACGTGACCGAATGAGCCGCCATCGCTTGTCCCAGCTCCTGCCAACCTCGCGGTTCGAAAGCCTGCAAAATGCAAAAATGCGAGTAGATAAATAGGCACCACCTTGGTGGGAAGGTAAATGGTGTTTCGTGTCTAGTCACGCTGGCCACGCGACCACAGAGGATTGTCTGAGGACGAAACGCTAGCTCTATGAGTTGGAAATGGAGATGAGTACCACTGCCTAGAGTCGGACACGACTGGACAAATTGTCAAGGAGAATCTTTACCTTTACCTTTTACACAGAATCCACAGTGGAGAATAGCTGCAACTTCCTCAGAGTCCACCCCTTTCTTATTAACAGGCACTTCAAGTCTCAAAAACTCACTCCAAGACATTTGTAGGAGGAAATATAAAAATGTTTCTTTACTCATCATTGTCTGAAATTACAGACTTGTGTATACTCCTTTCCTTACTACACAAATACTAACAACCAACTGAACAGATCAACAACAACCAACTGCCACCAACCAACGGAAGAGAAGAACAGAACACTTAGCAGAGAGGCAGGACTCTCTTTGAATTTAAAAAGCTGGAAAGAATGAACGCTAGATAGATAATTATTACTCCAGCCTAGAAAAGTCCTTTACTGCCACTCAAACTGCAGACAGCATGTGAAGTAGGAAATAAAACTCGAATACTTTCAGGTTGCTTCTTACTCAATGGTAACCCTAGCAGTGTTTCTCAGGTATGTCAGACGTTCAAGGAATGGAAACCCCTCTGTGAGTTTCTATGGCCAGTCCAAGAACATTTGGGGCCCCAAGGTTGAGCATCTCTGTCCTAATGTGTGAGGGAGGGCTAGCCCCTGTGGATGTGAGGTCACTAAGGAATGCCCCTATCCTGCCTAGTTGATTATCTGAGGAAATTATGCTTGAACAGGGCCGGTAAACAGCCATTAGAGTATGGTGGATAAAGTGTTGAAGAAGGACTCAGAAGACCTGGCTTCAAATCCCTTAAATTTCAAAATGTTCCTATATTATTTCTTTATCCTAGAATTTACAGTACCTGAGGACCTAACAGAGTAAAAATTGTTCAGTCTGCAATTCCTATCTTGAATTTTACTCTGGATCTCAATGTGCAGACCTTATGTTTACATTGTGAATAACTGCATCCCACAACAGGTTTCCAGACAGAACTCTGTTAAGAACAAAAGTGAAGGCATTGAGCACAGGAAACGGTTCCCTTCCTAACAGTTCTGTCTCAGGAACTCAAAATATGTCACTTCAGTTCCATGTGCCTTGATACACTCTATGGCTTCAACAGACAACCTTTTAAAAACTCTCTCTTCTTCATTGTTCTTTGCGTCTCCTGACGAAAACTCCTGAAAGCTGGCTCACTCGCCTTGTGTCATTTCGATAGTTCTAATACAGGCATCGGAAAACTCTGAACTTTGTATTCTCATAATCCCTAATTTATTTCTTTTTTCGTTTCTTACATTTATATCCCCTTTTGATTTCAATCAGATCAAGGCGGGCCAGCCTCTTTACCTCACAACAACCCAACAAGGGTGCCAAACAGAGGGATCACTGTGTGTGCTCGCTATCGGCCACACTATGGGCTTCGTTGCTCTGTGCAGATTAGGACCAAGCTTTTCCAAACCCCTGCCAGGCATTTAGAATCATAGAATACTTGAGTTGGAAGGGGTTAGAAGACCATCAATGCCAACCCTCTGCTCAATGCAGGAGTCCAAATCAAAGCAGATCTGACAGAGGATTGTCGAATTGTCTCTTGGACGCCTCCAGCATTCAAGCCCACCACCACCACCAGAGATAATTAATTCCATTGTCTCTTGAACACCCCCAGCATCCAAGCCCACCACCACCAGAGATAATTAATTCCATTGTCCTACTGCTCTAACAGTTAAGATGTTTTTCCTGACATGCAGCCTAAAGCTGGCTTCCTGTAACTTCAGGCTATTATTATGCATCCTGTACTCTGGGATGATCCAGAGTGGTCGGAAGACCAGATGGGCGGGGTATAAATCAAATAATAAATAAATAAATCCCGAACGGATCCTGCCCCTCTTCTGGATGACTACTTTTGATGACCATTGGATACCCCAATGTGCGACCCCTTCGCTGGGCATCTTTTAAAAAAAAAACCCTGAAAACTTGGATGTTTATGCAGGCCTTCCCTCCAGTTAATACTTGATTTCTTTTTTTTTCCTCCCGTTTGTCTTTTTTCTTCTTGGATAATTCGTTTACTGCTTGATTCCCCCCCCCCTTTTTTTCTTCTTGGATAATTCCTTTACTGATGTTTAAAAATCTTCTTACATTGTAATTTTGTTAGATTGTTGTTCTGTGTGCTTGTTACAGTGTAATTTTGTTAGATTGTTGTTCTGTGTGTTGGAAGCCGCCTAGAGTGGTCCTTCGACTAGACAGGCGCAATCAATCAATCAATCAATCAATCAATCAATCAGTCAATCAATCAATCAATCAATCAATCAATCAATCAATCAATCAATACCATCCCATTTGAGGGCCCCTCACAGCAGCCTTATCTTTTCCTCCCTTTACCCAAGGGGAAAAAAAGAAACTTTTGATTTCAAGAGCCCCCTCCATCTACCGAGGCCCGGGCAGCTGAGCCTGGCAAAGGGGGTGCCACCCAGGGCAAAAGTTCCCCATTTCAAGCGATTGCGCAAGAGCGCACGACGCATCCACCCCGGATCCCTCTCGGTCTTGGCCGAACTCTGTCCCTCCTCCCTCGGAGACCGGGGGGGAAGGGCCATAAACAAAGCCACGTGTCCCCCCCTCCCTCTCCGGGCGAGGGGGGCGGGCCGAGAGCCGCTCTTCCGGCAACAAAGAGCCATCATCATCACCACCACCAGCAGCCACCGCCGATAAATAGAGAGGCAGCTGGACCGAGGCAGGAGAAACCGATCGCGGGGGAGGGCGCAGGGAAGCAAAGCCGATTATCTCTGCTGAAGAGGGGAAGGGGGGGTAACCTCGCCAGTCTTATTATTCGCCCAGCCTTCGCTCTCGGGAGCCAAGAGGAAGGACTTGCTTTGAGGAAGAAAAAAAAACAGACCCTCGCTCTTTCTTCGAGGGCGAGCCTTCCTTGGGCGCCTTGGCTTTGGAGGAGAAGCGCTCCCCAAGCCCCCCCCCCGTGCGCTCTGGTTGCTTGTTGTTGTTATTATTATTATTTTTAATTCTCCGCCCATATTTCCGACCGGCGACCATGCCTTTCCTAGGGCAAGACTGGCGATCCCCCGGGCAGAACTGGGTGAAGACGGCCGACGGCTGGGCCAGGTTTGTGGACGAGAAGGACCACAGCGGCAGCAGCAGCAGCAGCTACGGCGGCGGCGAACGGAACAGGTGAGGCTGGCCTTCAAGTTTGGGGTGGGGAGGGCCTGGCCGGATCGCAATTTTTGCAAGAGGGGCTGAGAAATGTCAAGGCGATGGAGGGGGCAGGAAGGGTGGCTATCATCGTCTTCTTCCTCCCCCCCCCACCCCGATCCCAGTCCTCATATTTACAAAAATTATTCTTCCCCCCTCCTCTGTTGATGATGATCATAAGGATCTATAGGCTGTGCTTTGTTCCAAGCGCGCATCTCTTTGGACGAGGCTGTGACGCCTTTGTTGATATTTTTGGGGTTGTGGCGTCATTGCGGGTAGCCGGGTTCGGACGTGCGAAACCTCTCCGGGGAACCACAGCGAGCAGAGCAGAAAAACAACAGTCGCTCTTGCTAGCTCCAGAGGTCAGGTTTATCTGGTGGAAACCTCGCCTTTCGCTTTTCCTCGAGCTCTTAGCATCTGGCAGCCTCTTGAAAGGAATGTTTCTTCACCTCTGCAAGCATGCTTTTGAGAATCTGATTAAAGCAAACTGGGGGGGGGAGAACCCCCTCAGAAAAAGGGATATCAGCATATAATCAGCATATACACACGAAGATGATTTTTAGAGTACCAGGACGGAAATTTTTTTAAAAAAACCACCAAAATATTTGCATCTCCTTCATCCAGCCCTTGTAACCGATTCGTAGGAAGCCCTACATGTCAGGTTTTAAGAACCCAGATGTTTGGCTTGGTGTGTACAGTTGCAGAAATCTCTGGGAACCTCACCAGAGGAGGATTTGTACATTGCAATGTGTTTATTTGTGTGTGCACATGTCTTTAAACATATGACGTTCCTTGTTTTTATCGATGGGGGAAGTCCCTAAGGAGAAAAAAATGTGGAATAGATACTGTTAGCATCTATCTGGAAATCCCCTTATTCTCTTGGGGAAGGGCCAGAATAGATAGACTCAGAGTTAGAACAATTCTTGTCCTTTGTGTTCATAGATGTACTGCCATATGTTATGCCAAAGGTGACATGATACTGGTGTGTTTGTGTCTGTGATGTGCTGTGAATGTGCCACTGGCTGGATTGAGCTCCACCCCTCCATAACATGAAGATGGATGTGGTTGGTTGGTTTCATTTTGCAGCATGTATTTAAGAGGTTGTGTGTGTTGCTGCTGTTCCAGTTGCTGCGCAGACAATCCTGCTACTCTAAAACCTGCGAACTCCCTTTGCAGTCATGTTCTCTAGACCAGGAGAAGGGATATATTATTTGATTTCTAAGTGGATCATAATAATGGGGCAAAGATTTCCGATTCCTAACTGTCTACTAATAGGAGCAACAAAATGACTCCGCTTTTGTTTTAAATTAGACGGCTGAAGTGAAAGTTTGGGCTAACTGGGAGTAGATTTTTGTGCAGAAGCACAATAAGTGCTGTTCAATGCTCGCACAGAGAATAAAATGCAGGATTTAGAGTTCTTTACATTTTGCTCTTCCAATTTTAGGAAACCATATAGACTATCTAGCAAGCCCACCCTGCAATAGACCACTTAGTAGTACAAAAGTAAATGTTATAATATTTCAGGCTGTCCGCTTAGTAAAAATGTGGGTACATGATATAGGTGTGTACAGTTCTGCATGGTGTGTAAAAAAGGGAGTTATTTCCCCCTCTCTCAGAGAAGCAGAATTTGGGGGCAAGGGTCACCCAGCAGGAGATTCGGGACAGATAAATGAAAGTACTGCTGTGTTCTGTGAGTAGTTAAACTATGAGATTTATTACCCTATTATGCAGCAATGGCCATCACCTTGTGTAGCTTAAAAAGGCAATTACAACTATTCATGGAGGATAAAACTGTATCAGTGGCTACTAGTAGGTTGTGTAATGAGTTTAATATGAGAGTTGGTGTCAATACCAGTTGTCCGGGACTGTGGGCAGGAGATGGCTGTGTTACTTGTCTCTTTTTGTGTTTGTCCTGTTGATCTCTGAAAAGATAACTAGCTCTGGAAAACAAATTTTTTCAATATCGAATACAAAAGGGCTGTTGTTTAAGGCTCCATAGTTCCTGTTTCCTCTACCCCCACTGCCCTAGTCTTTGGATAAGACTGTGCTTTAACTCTTCTGGCCACAAAAGGGTGTGGTAATAAATAGCACAAGCCCTTTGCAATCTTTAGTGGGGTGTCTGTCACATGACTTTTGCACATGACTAATGGTTGCGTGGTGAATATTCTGCCAGAGGGCATGTTGCTTTCGGGGTTAGCATTGCACACACAGTTTTTGAAGCAGGATTCTGGCCTCTGTATCTTCAAAGGTTATTGATGTATTACTTCCTCAATTTTTGCAGGTCTGCATCAGCCCTCTAATATAGGAACAGGTGATACCTTCAGTCAACTATTAAGAATATATTTTTTAAAAAACAGAAAATAAACAGTGAGCTTCCAATGATGCACATCCTTGAAGATGATGTTTCATCAAGTTCTTGTACTTGAAGCCAGGTTCAACCAGCTAGGTTGTAGGCAAGTTCACTTCTTAGATGGTGAGTGCAGTATGGGAGTTGTTTTCAAGCTCCTTCCTAGCTAGCACTTTGAAGGCAAACCTGGCTTCAACCTCATCAGCCATGTGAATTTGGGACATTGATAACAGCTTAAAAGCTGGAACTGCCCACAAGAACTTGATGCACAGGTAAAAGCTGGACCTGCCCACAAGAACTTGATGCACAGCCTAGAAGACGTTTTCATCATCGGAAGCTTTGTTTGTTTTATATTCTTAATGGTTGATTGGAAGCTTTGTTTGTTTGTTTTATATTCTTAATGGTTGATTAAAGGTATCGCCTGTTCCTGTATCTGCATTGTTTTCACAACTATGCAGCCTGTTCTTGATCCCTCTTCTAAGTCCCCTTGGCCATGGCATGTGTATAGGAAAGATATAATGTACTATACTTTTAACTCTTCCAAGAAAACTTTGAGAAGGAGTGTGTTGATACTGAAGAGTGGGGTGGTTGGCACTGGAGAGAGTGCATGGATTACAAAGCAGGCGGAATGACGTTTGATTTATGTATTCAGAGAAACAAAAGGGAATCCATAGGCTATCGGAATGGGGATTCTTTCCATAGAAGAAATTGCTGATGGATTCTGCACTTAAAATCAAACAAGAACTGTGCCTGCCATACAAATATTTTTCCACTGTCCGCTTAGAATGCACAACAAACCAGGACATAGTTTAAGATGGATGGTTTCTGTATGAGAGCCAGCCTTCTAGTTGTTAAGAGTTTTGAAGCTTCTTGGACGAGCTCACTAAACATGCAAGGATTAGAGAGAGAGAAATAACCCAGTCTGCAGCTTGGTTTGAGAAAAGTATTTGGATTCAAGTTGATGCAAGTTACATTTAACAGTGCTTTGGCTACAATCCCTTCCACACCTGCCCAGTAACACAACCTATTGAATACAATGGCTTTTACATAGGAGTAAAAACTCATGGAATTGTATTGCCGGGGCTGCAGTGCTTCACATTTATTGAGAGTAAGGTTTCTTGAATTTAGTGGGCCTTGTTTCTGAATAAACATATTTATAATTGGACTATACATGTTGCCTGGTTAGCTCAGTGGTTTAGGTATCTGTTTGCTGAGCCAGAAGTTGGGAGTTTGATTCCCCACTGTGCCTTCCGGGAGAAGAGCCAGCCTATGTGGCCTTGGGCAAGCTGCACAGTCCCGGGGCGCCCCCAAAAGAAGGGAATGATAAACCACTTCTGAGTGTTCATTACCCATAAAACTCTGAAAAGGGTAATGAGAATTGACTTGGTGGCACGTGACTAATATTATACATTACGTACATCTGGAAGAAGTATCCTGGTGCTTATTGGGCTGCAGAACATCTGTATGATTATTTTAATGGCTTAGTTTGTGGGTCTGCTTTCCAGGAAGACTTCAGTTTAGATAATCAAAGTGTTTGTTATTCAAAGTAATCAGTGCATAGTTATTTTTCTAAAGTTTACATTTTTGACAACAGGAATCTTGCTTGGAAAATATTTTGTATTAATACTTGTCGAACTACAAGGAGTCATTATTGACAGTTCAGATACATGCAGAACATGAAGTAGCTGAGATGCAGAATTAAACAAAAAGGAGCAGAATCTGTTTTTAAACTCAGAGTTCTCTTGATATGTTTTCTTAACAAAAGTCTTGGCTATGGCCTCGTGGTTTATTTTGCTTGGCATCAAGTACAGAATTTGCCACTTAAGTAGGGACCTGTGTTTGCATATGAAAAGCTTTCATGCATAAAAGACCAAGGATTAATTCAAGCCCCAGTATCCTATCTGGGTGGGGCTGATACTGAATGTCACAGATCAAGATGTCTGAATCAGTGTTTCTGTCATGAAGCAGCTGGGGACAGGTAGAAACAACAGCTTTTGTTCAACTCCTTGTTTCTTTCCATGTTTTTTTCCCTTCGGTTGCTTGATTGTCTTGCAAAGCTTTTCATAGCAAAATTATCCATAAGATAGAATGCATTATAAGAGTGGCTAGCTGACACTGGATAAGCTGGTGCCGCCCCCCCCCCCAAGCTATTCATTTAATTAAAACAAACTTTGGAATGGAAAAAAAATTGTGGATGATTCTTGGATTACCAATGTCATGGTCAGAATGAAAGAAAAACAAGATTTAACACATTTGTTTGCATTGCATTCAAGCAGCCAAATAGGATAGGTTTTGGTTAGTAATTTCTTGGTCATCCACTTGGAATGTCTCATGGGGTGACTATGTAGTGTCAGTGTATGCTCTGTTTTTAGTCCTTCTCGTAGAGTTCTACAAGTCCTGGAATAGCAACAGTCTGTCCAGAAGAAATAGATAAGAATGAGAGCTCTTCTGTAGGGAGATAGCGGCGCTGTCCTTTATAGTGAAGAAATCTGACTAAATGTGCAGTGAAGGACAGGAGAATGCAAAGGTGTTAAAAGGACGAGGCAGAGGAGAGTTGGAAAAAGTTACTTTTCTAGATGGCAACTCCCAGAATCCTCCCATCAGCTTGACAGATTTCTAGGAGCAGTCTGCA